TGCAGTTAGACGTAACATTGTATAATGTGTGATCACACTCGCGTGAGGTGAGCAGATATATGGTGGAGAATGTCTTCTGCAACGGTGAATGCATATAGTCGAATGCAATAGTGAATGCAGGGTCCGGGGGAGAGTGATATAGTGAATGCAGGGTCCGGGTGTGAATGGATATAGTGAATGCAGGGTCCGGGGAGAGCGGATATAGTGAATGCAGGTACAGGTGAAAAGTGGATATAGTGAATGCAGGGTCTGGGGAGAGCGGATATTCGTGAATGCTGGGTAGTACGGGGAGACCGCAGATATAGTGAATGCAGGGTCCAGGGAGAGCGATATAGTGGAATGCAGGGTCCGGGCGAGGGAGCGGATATAGTGAATCTCAGTGTCCTGGTGAGAGCAGATATAGTGAATGCGGGGTCCGGGGAGAGCAGATAAGTGAATGCAGGGTCTGGGGAGAGCGTATATAGTGAAAAAAAAAAGAATGCAGTGTTGGGAGACCAGATATTAGTGAATGCAGGCCCTGGGGAGAGCAGATATAGTAAATGCAGGGTCCGGGGAGAGCGGACATAATGAATGCAGGGGTACAGGGGAGAAGTGTGTTGCGGATGACATCACGACGTTACCATTCATCGGGACAGCGTTATAGTACTCTGTAAGCGGCTCTCCTGGAACGACATTACAGCAGGCAATGAGCATTCATTAAGAGTGGCCCCCCGTGCTTTGCCTGGCATTACATTACGGATGGGGTCCTGGTTTGATCATGTACAGGACTCTGCCTGCTGAGAATGATACTGCCCATCTAAGTGTCTAATCAGTACATCACTGGATGTTCATCAATACCTTGGTGCAATATACACCTCCGGAACGTGAGTGCATTTCTTATGTTTAATTGATGAATAAAAGTGTAAAAGGATAAAGCACTGTGGAGTTCTTTGTAATGAGGAATACGGCAGATACAAAGACGCTTATCAGGAGGAGATAACTTTGGAGTCATTCAACAACGCTGATCTTCTGAGTCCAAATGGGACCAAAAGTGCAGTTATAGGAGTAACATTGTATAATGTGCGGTCACACACTGCGTGAGGTGAGAGTATATATGGTGGAGAATGTCTTTGCTCGGTGAATGCATATAGTGAATGCGGGTCCGGGGAGAGTGGATATAGTGAATGCAGGGTCCGAGTTGAATGAATATAGTGAGATGCAGGGTCCGGGGAGAGCGGATATAGGTGAATGCAGGGTACAGGGAAAGTGAATATAGTGAATTGCAGGGTCTGGGCGGAGAGCGATATTGTGAATGCTGGGTCCGGCGGAGACCAAATATAGTGAATGCAGGTCCCGGGGAGACCAGAAATAGTGAATGCAGGGGTCCTGGGAGAGCGATATAGTGAATGCAGGGTCCATGGGGAGAGCGGATATTGTGAACGCAGGGTCTGGGAGCAGACGTGGATACTAGTGGCATGCAAGGTCTGGCAAAACTGGATATAGTGAATGCAGGGTCCGGGGAGACCCAGATATTAGTGAATGCAAAGTCCGGGGAGAAAGAATATATAGTGAATGCAGGGTCCAGGGAGACCAGATAATGCAGTGAGATGCTGGGTCCAGGAACGACCAGATATAGTGAATGCAAGGGTCTGAGGAGACCAGAGGTATAGTGCATGCAAGGTCTCTGGGGAAACTAGATATAGTGAAATGCAGGGTCCTGGGAGATGTGGTTATATAGTGGAATGCAGGGCATGGGGAGAGTGGATATAGTGAATTGCAGGGTCTGGGAGAGCAGATATAGTGACATGCATTGTCCTGTGAGACCAGATATAGTGAATGCAGGGTCCTGGGGGAGAGGGAGATATATGAATGCAGGGTCTGGGGGAGACCAGATATAGGGAATGAAGGTGGGTCTGGGGAGACAGAGATATAGTGAATGAAGGGTCCGGGGAGAGAGGTAGGTGGTATAGTGAATGCGGGGTCTGGGGAGAACAGTTATAGTGAATGCAGTATTTATTCCGGGTGTGAGCGGGATATAGTGAATGTAGGGTCCGAGGAGAGCGGATATATTGAATGCAGGGTCCGGGGGAGAGCAGGATATAACGAATGCAGGGCCGGGGGAGAGCGGATAAAGTGAATGCGTGGTCCGGGGAGAGCAGATATAGTGAATGCAGGGTCCGGGGAGAACAGATATAGTGAATGCAGGGTCCAGGGAGAGTGGATATCAGTGAATGCAGGGTCCGGGGGTGAGAGCGGATATAGTGAATTCAGAAGTCCTGGGAGAGCAAGATATAGTGAATGTGGGGTCCGGGTGAGCAGATATAGTGAATATGCAGGGTCTGGGGAGAGCAGATATAGTAAATGCAGGGTCCGGGGAGAGCATATATAGTGAATGCATGGTCTGGGGAGAGCAGATATAGTAAATGCAGGTTCCGGGAGAGCAGATATAGTGAATGCAGGGTCTGGGGGAGAGCAGATATAGTGAATGCAGGGTCCGGGGTGAGAGCATTATATAGTGAATGCAGTGTCCCTGGTAGACCAGATATAGTGAATGCAGGGCCCGGGGAGAGCAGATATAGTAAATGCAGGGTCCAGGGGAGAGCAGATATAGTGAATGCCGGTTCAGGGAGAGCGGACAGAATTGAATGCAGGGTCCAGGGAGGAGTGTGCGGATAAGACGTCACATACGTTACCAATTCATCGGACAAGCGGTTATAGTACTCACTGTAAGCGGCTCCTGGAACGACATTACAGCAGCCAATAGCATTCATTAAGTGGCCCCGTGCTTTGCCTGGCATTACAATTTACGGATGGGGTCTGGTTTTGAGCATGTACATGACTCATGCTGCCATCTAGTGTCTAATCAGTACATCACTGGATGTTCATCATACCTGGTGTGCAATATACACCGTCCCGGAACGTGAGTGCATTTCTTATGTTTAATTGATGAATAAAAGTGAATAAAAGGATAAAGCACTATTGTTGGGGTTCTTTGTAATGAGGAATACGGCTGATACAAAGACGCTTATCAGGAGGGAGATTACTTTGGAGTCCTCATTCAACAAGCTGATCTTCTGAGTCCAAATGGGACCAAAAGTGCAGTTAGACGTAACATTGTATAATGTGCGTCACACTGCGTGAGGTGAGCAGATATATGGTGGAGAATGTCTTTGCACGGTGAATGCATATAGTGAATGCATATAGTGAATGCAGGGTCCCGGGAGAGTGGATATAGTGAATGCAGGGTCCCGGGGTGAATGGATATAGTGAATGCAGGGTCCGGGGAGAGCGGATATAGTGAATGCAGGGTACAGGGAAAGTGGATATAGTGAATGCAGGGTCAGGGGGAGAGCGGATATTGTGAATGCTGGGTACGGGGAGACCAGATATAGTGAATGCAGGGTCCAGGGAGAGCGGATATAGTGAATGCAGGGTCCGGGGGGAGAGCGGATATAGTGAATTCAGTGTCCTGGGAGAGCATGATATAGTGAATGCGGGGTCCGGGGAGAGCAGATATAGTGAATGCAGGTCTGGGAGAGCGTATATAGTGAATGCAGTGTCCTGGAGACCAGATATAGTGAATGCAGGGCCCGGGGAGAGCAGATATAGTAAATGCAGGGTCCGGGGAGAGCGGACATAATGAATGCAGGGTACAGGGAGAAGTGTGCGGATGACATCACGACGTTACCATTCATCGGACACAGCGGTTATAGTACTCTGGTAAGCGGCTCCTGGAACGACATTACAGCAGGCAATAGCATTCATTGAAGTGGCCCCCGTGCTTTGCCTGGCATTACATTACGGATGGGGTCTGGTTTTTGAGCATGTACAGGACTCTGAGCTGCTGAGATGATACTGCCATCTAGTGTCTAATCAGTACATCACTGGATGTTCATCATACCTGTGCAATATACACCTCCGGAACGTGAGTGCATTTCTTATGTTTTAATTGATGAATAAAAGTGTAAAAGGATAAAGCACTATGTGGAGTTCTTTGTAATGAGGAATACGGCTGATACAAAGACGCTTATCAGTGAGGGAGATTACTTTGGAGTCATTTCAACACGCTGATCTTCTGAGTCCAAATGGACCAAAAAAGTGCAGTTATAGAGTAACATTGTATAATGTGCGGTCACAACACTGCGTGAGGTGAGCAGATATATGGTGGAGAATGTCTTTGCTCGTTGAATGCATATAGTGAATGCGGGGTCCCGGGGAGAGTGGATATAGTGAATATGCAGGGTCCCGAGGTTGAATGAATATAGTGAATGCAGGGTCCGGGGAGAGCGGATATAGTGAATGCAGGGTACAGGGAAAGTGAATAATAGTGAATGCAGGGTCTGGGGAGAGCGGATATTGTGAATGCTGGTCCGGGGAGACCAGATATAGTGAATTTGCTGGGTCCGGGGAGACCAGAAAATTAGTGAATGCAGGGTCCTGGGAGAGCATGGATATAGTGAATGCAGGGTCTGGGGAGAGCGGATATTGTGAACGCAGGGTCTGGGGAGAGTGGATATAAGTGCATGCAAGTCTGGCAAAACTGGATATAGTGAATGCAGGGTCCGGGTAGAGACTAGATATAGTGAATGCAAAGTCCGGGGAGAAAGAAAATATAGTGAATGCAGGGCAGGGTCCAGGGAGACCAGATATAGTGAATGCTGGGTCCCAGGAAGACCAGATATAGTGAATGAAGGGATCTGAGGAGACCAGATATAGTGCATGGCAAGGTCTGGGGAAACTAGATATAGTGAATGCAGGGTCCTGGGAGAGTGGGATATAGTGAATGCAGGGCATGGGGAGAGTGGATATAGTGAATGCAGGGTCTGGGGAGAGCAGATATAGTGAATGCATTGTCCTGTGAGACCAGATATAGTGAATGCAGGGTCCTGGAGAAGGGGATATATGAATGCAGGGTCTGGGGAGACCAGATAATAGGAATGAAGGGTCTGGGGAGACCAGATATAGTGAATGCAGGGTCTGGGGAGAGCGGATATTGTGAATGCAGGGTCCGGGGAGAGCAGATATAGTGAATGCAGGGTCTGGGAAGAGCAGATATAGTGAATGCAGGGTCCGGGGAGAGCAGATATAGTGAATGCAGGGTCCAGGGAGACTGGATATAGTGAATGCAAAGTCCGGGGAGAGCAGATTTAGTGAATGCAGGGTTCGGGGAGAGCTGATATAGTGAATGCAGGGGCCGGGGAGGAGTGTGCGGATGACATTATGACATTACCATTCCTTAGGACAGCGGTTATAGTACTCTGTAAGCGGCTCTTGGAACGACATTCCAGCAGGCAATAGCATTCATTAAGTGGCCCCGTGCTTTGCCTGGCATTACATTACGGATGGGGTCTGGTTTGAGCATGTACAGGACTCTGCTGCTGAGATGATACTGCCATCTAGTGTCTAATCAGTACATCACTGGATGTTCATCATACCTGGTGCAATATACACCTCCGGAACGTGAGTGCATTTCTTATGTTTAATTGATGAATAAAAGTGTAAAAGGATAAAGCACTATGTGGAGTTCTTTGTAATGAGGAATACGGCTGATACAAAGACGCTTATCAGGAGGGAGATTACTTTGGAGTCCTCATTCAACAAGCTGATCTTCTGAGTCCAAATGGGACCAAAAGTGCAGTTAGACGTAACATTGTATAATGTGCGGTCACACTGCGTGAGGTGAGGAGATATATGGTGGAGGATGTCTTTGCACGGGAATTGATGACAGATGCACATATTTTTCGTTATCCAAAGGAGGGTTCACAGAAGAACACTTTATTGATTGAACTTGAGATTTTGAATGACTTTTGCTTGATTCGTACTTAAAAAATACTTTTTGATTTTTTTGTGGTCCTTGTTTATTTATATAAATATAGTTTTATTTACTTAATTCTTTTTTCAATCATTTTTATTTTATTATTTATTTTTTTCACTTTGCTTTTTGATATATAGGAATTGTGCAATTTTTTTCATGTAGCGAATTTTTTCACTTTACAATATGATAGTGAATGCAGGGTCTGGGGAGACAAGATATAGTGAATGTAGCGTCCGGAGAGACCAGATATAGTAAATGCAGGGTCCAGGGAGAGCGGATATAGTGAATGCAGGGTTTGGGGAGATCGGATATAGTGAATGTAGGGTCCTGTGAAACCAGATATAGTGAATGCAGGGTCCTGGGAGAGGGGATATATGAATGCAGGGTCTGGTGAGACCAGATATAGTGAATGCAGGGTCCGAGGAGACCAGATATAGTGAATGCAGGGTCCTGGGAGACTAGATACAGTGAATGCAGGGTCTTAGGAGAGCGGATAAAGTGAATGCAGGCTCCTGGGAGAGTGGATATTGTGAATGCTGGGTCCAGGGAGACCAGACACAGTGAATGCATGGTCCTAGGAGACCAGATATAGTGAATGCAGGGTCCTGAAAGAGCGGATATTATGAATGCAGGGTCCAGGAAGAGCGGATATAGCGCATGCAAGGTCTGCGGAAACTGGATTTAGTGAATGCAGGGTCTGGGGAGACAGGATATAGTGAATGCTGGGTCCAGGGAGACCAGATATAGTGAATGAAAGGTCCAAGGACACCAGATACAGTGCATGCAAGGTCTGGGGAGAGTGGATATAGTGAATGCAGGGTACAGGGAGAGTGGATATAGTGAATGCAGGGTCCGGGGAGACCAGATATAGTGAATGCATAATCCGGGGATACCAGATATAGTGAATGCAGGGTCCAGGGAGAGCAGATATAGTAAAATGCAGGGTCCTGTGAGACCAGATATAGTGAATGCAGGGTCCTGGGAGAGGGGATATAAGAATGCTGGGTCTGGGAGACCAGATATAGGGAATGAAGGGTCCGGGGAGACCAGATATAGTGAATGCAGGGTCCTAGGAGACCAGATATAGTGAATGCAGGGTCTTAGGAGAGTGGATATAGTGAATGCAGGGTCCTGGGAGAGCGGATATAGTGAATGCAGGGTCTGGGGATACCAGATATAGTGAATGCATGGTCCGGGGAGACCAGATATAGTGAATGCAGGGTAGGAGCTGGTACTGCAGCCCACAGAGCAGGTGAGCCACAGCACCACCAGTGCTGAGTCTTTTCCTGATGGGTGTGGTCGCAAGGTGGAAAGCTCTGCTTAGCTCCAGAAAGGCCCGAGAAGCCTGGGGCTAAAGTGCCCTGCTCAAGCCCAGGGATGATGGCGGATCCTGTGCCTGAGTCCAGCGGTGGGAGACCCCCGGAGGGGCCTAGTACCGGTCCTGGCTTCCCATCTTTTGAGGACCTGGGAACAGCCCCTAAGAAGGGGGAAGGATACGCAGAGTATAGAGGCCAGGTAGCTGCCCGGATAAAGACCATGGAGAAAGAGGAGGCCAAGCTTGTCAAATTGAGCATGGAGCTCAAGAAGATGCGCTCCAGTTATGATCGGGTCTGGAGCTCAAAAAGACAGGCCATGAAGCCTGGTCTGGAGGTCTTAAAGCAGCGGGTCTCTGTCCAAGAGAAGTATGTGGAGGCCCCCAAGAGAAAGAGCGGAGTCTTGAGGGAGAAATATGCAAACGATAGCCGCTTTAAAGCAGCTAGGAGCAAGTGTGTGGCGGTGGCAAGAGGCTCTGTGGACGAGGTCTCCTCCATGGAGGCGCTGTCGGATGCATCAGTGATGGGAGGTGAGCCGGTGTAGGGGCTGGCTGAGCCCGCTGTAGTGATTTCCAAAATGGCGCCAGCTGATACGGAGGACGCCAAGGCCACGTATGAGTCGGGCTCCCTCCCCCTCGGGCAGCAGAGCGCAGATTGGGGAACGCAAGTGGAGGAGGCGGAGACCACGGGAAAGCTCAGCTTCGTCCAGGAAATGGAGCCGGTGTTGAGAAGTGATCACTTCCGTTTCGCTTCCGAGGATTCCGGAAATGAGGAAGAAAATGTGCCGGCTAAGCCGGTGAAGAAGGACCGGGCATTTTTTGTCCACCTGGGGAGCTCCGTGTCAGTAAAAGATGGCGTGCTGATGGCCGAAGGTGTGCTGCAGGACTCTGCAAAGTCTGGTGGTGATGCACCAATGGACATCCCTGCGGGTAATATGTCTGGGGCTATACCTATAGTGCAGGCTCCTCCTGCAGTGCATGGTTTGGGTGGTCCGGGTTCCTCTGTCCCCCTGGTGCAGGCTCCCATTGGCTCCGCCCCCTTGAAGGCTGTGGAAGGTGTTGGGGTTGTGTCTGTCCCGTTGGGGTCCCCATCTGATGGGCTGATTTCCCAAACCCTAGTTCCTGCGGGTCAGACACTGCTTAGTTCCCCTGTAATTGTTTCTGAGGAACAGGTGTGGGCCTCCCAGGGTTCTGCTTTGTCCAGTCCCCCTTCTGGTAGTCCAGGTCCCCAGGTTCAGGGGTCTGACCCGGTGGTCCCTGGTCCTCAGGTTCAGGCTCCTTCTGTTGCCCTGGCTGCGGTCTCCCCAGACCCTGCTCCCTCTGTTGTTAGTACCCCCACAGTTTCATCCGCTTTAAGCTACTCGGCGGTGGTTAGGGGTGGGCAGGGGCCGGCCAGGCCAATGCAAGCTAGGGCGGGCAACCTACAGAGATCAGCTGCCCGCAGAAATTTTGTCTAGTTAAAATGGACAGGGCAGGGCCCCCCTTTAGGTCGGAGGGAAGTAATTGATCGTATTCTTGAGATGGGCTATAAAGCAACAGATTTGTTTGCTTTCATTGCCCCAGGAGGTATGGGCGAATACGATGTATCTTTTATGCGGCCGGAATTGCTCGATCTTTTTTGGCAAAGATATGATTCCATCTATGCCCGTAGCCCGAGGTGGGTTGGTCTGTCCCCAATATTGATATCTCGCCAGAACGTGGTCAAGAAAATCACGGTTCTGGTGAGAAATGATTCGATCCCCCCTGCAGATATTGTGGTGTGGCTGGGAAGATATGGGGATGTTATGGCGCCCCTGAGTAAAATTACGGATGAAAGGGGGATCTGGACAGGCGGGTGGATGACCACCGTCCACTTGAGGGTGGAGGGGAATGTGCTCCAGCATATTCCTTCCTCTACCTTCCTTGGCAGGGATAGGTTAATAATTTTTTTTTATCCAGGCCAACCGCGGGTATGTCACCGGTGTGGTGCCAAGGGGCATTTTGCCGCCACCTGTCCTGTGATGCGCTGCTCCTTGTACCAGGAGATTGGGCACCTGGCCAAGGATTGCAGCGTAATAAGGTGCAACTTGTGTGGTTCTGTGGGGCATTCCTATAATTCATGTCCTGAAGCCCTCTGCAACATCTCAGATAGGGTGATAATAGCTGAATTAGACAGGCTGGATGCCGATGCCGAGGTAGTGAAGGCCACCCTGCCTTCTGGGGCAGGCCTTGGGGAGGTGGAGGAGGTTTCTGTGGTCCCTGAGGTTGCCCTGGTTGAGTCTACAAACCTAGTTAGGATTCCAGTAGTACCATCCGTGGTGTCAATCCCCCTTCAAAAGAAGGGAAAGAAATTGGTGGAGGCAGCCAAAGGGGACTGGGGTGGTGGAGGTTACAGTTGTGCCTTCTGTGTCCATTCCCCCGGTTCTCCTCCCACTGCGTCGGGATAAGGTGCCTGATAAGGTATCCCAGGCTCCTGTTCAGGGAGGTCAGGTGGGGGGTCCAGGTGGAGGAAGGGTGGTCCACAGTTAAGAAGGGCAATAAGCCTGTCCTTTCCCCAGCGGGGTCGGTCTCCTCATTAGAGGGAGGGGATCTGGTTCTGGGGAACAAGTTTGGGACTCTGTCTGGGGAGGAGGAGGAGTCAGGTGATCCTACTTCCCCGATGGAGGATGAGGATGAGGGGGGTCTCTGAAGAGGTCAAGGGAGAAAAGGGAGGTCCAAGAAAACCAAAAGGAAGGTTAAGAAGCGCCATTCTCAATTTCCTTAATGGCAGTTCCCGCTCCGATAAAGGTGGCAACCATTAATGTTGCCAGCATAAAATCTGTAAGTGCTAGAGAAACGGCCTTATTTTTTGCTCAGCAGTATTGATGCTGATGTTTTTTTTTTTGCAGGAGACCCGGTTGTGTAGCTTGGCTGACGTTTATCTGGTCAAAAGGGAGTGGAGGCGTGTTCCATCTTTCTGGTCTCCTGCGGCCGAGCCTTACAGAGTTGCGGTGCTTTTTACCGGTATGGTAACGTGCCGGCGGGTAATTGAAGTGGAGATGGAAGATGTCTGATCTTGGAAGTCCTTGTGAGGGGTCAGAAACTGCGCCTAATCAATATATATGGACCGCAGTCCAAATGGGACAGGAAATGTCTCTTCACAAAGATCAAGTCTTTCCTTTTTACATCCCGGCTGGTGGTCTTTGGAGGTGATTTGAACACCGTAACTAGGCCCAAGGACAGGAGGGGCTCCAATGACAGGCTGGGATATGATAGCGTTTTTCTGAATGCTATAGTCAGGGAAGCAGGTCTGGTGGACGCCTTGGTTAAGTGCAGCCCAGACAGCACGGGTTTCACGTTTAGGAGAGGTAATAGTCAGAGTAGGATAAACAGGTATTTTTTTAAAGGAGGACTCTGCCTTCTTGGCTCCTGAGTGTCCAGCGGTGGAGTTCTCTGATCACCTTATGCTTACTGTGACTTTGAATGTTTCAGACACGCCACTGAGAGGGAAGGGCATCTGGAGAATGAATTTGTCTCTACTGGAAGACTAGGAGGTGAGACGATTTTTCGAGGAGTTCTTTCAGGCTCAGGTGACGTTGCTGGATTTTTGCAACAGTAAGTCAGAGTGGTGGGAGCTTGTCAAGTTGCGGATTGGCAGGTTTTTCAAGGCCATAGGGAAAAGAAAACAGCTTGATAGATACAACGCCTACCAATGGTTGCGGAGGAAGCTCGACCGCCTTGTCTCTAGCGGTGGAGATTCTGGGGCAATCTCGGAGGCTAAGCTTCTCCTCAGGAAGTTCCAATACGACTGGCGTGCCTCTTTGGTTCTGGAGAGGGATTATGGGAAATATCAGTCGCCGACCCTTTTCAGAACTGCAAACAGAGCACAGCGGTTAAAACGGTCTCTACCTTAAGGGATAGTACGGGGTCCCTGACAAAATCCAGGTCAGGGATCCTGGAGGTCTCTAGGTCCTTTTATGAGGACTTACTGAGTGTGAAGAGCCTTGACCGGATAAGGATGTTGAGCTTTTTGGAATCTACACCGGGTTTGGAAGGTAATGTCCTGCTGGCAAGTTTGACAGGGGTAATTACAGCAGAAGAGGTGATCAAATCTATTGACAGTCTGGCCATTAAAAAGACTCCTGGGCCATATGGTTTGACAGCTGAGTTTTTTAAAAACTTTTAAATCCAGCTTGGCACCCCATCTTGCGGAGGTTTATAACAGCTGTCTGGATGAGGGTTCTCTCCCTCCCTCCATGAGGCGATCTGCTGTAATTCTTTTGTCAAAAGGTAAGGATCCTTTGGCTATTGAGAATTGGCGCCCCATTAGCCTTCTCAATGTCCATAGAAAGGTTCTGGCAAAGATCTTGTTCTGGCGCTTGTCGTCAGTGGCGGACGGTTTGCTATCACGGCAACAGCATTGCGCGATCCAGGGTAGGAGTACCTTTACAGCGGTGTTATCTGTCCGGGAGGCTCTGGAGCGGTGTAAGTCTGAGGGCTGGGGGAAGTACTTGCTGGCAGTGGATCAGGCAAAGGCCTTCGATCGAGTCGATCATGAGTACCTCTGGCACCTCCTGGACCGGTATGGCCTAGAGGGGAGGTTTATTGGATGGCTTAAGACACTGTATAGAGAGGCTGAAAGTTTCATGTTGGTGAATGGTTGGGTTGGGCGGCCCTTTTGGGGTCGTATTTGGTGTGCGCCAGGGGTGCCCGCTGAGCCCCTTGCTCTATGTCTTCGCCATCGATCCCTTTGTCAGGAGGTTGGATGGTGGGGCGTTTGGGCAGGGTGCCGGTGGGTGCTGCTGGGGTTCCCTCTCTGAAGGTTGTTGCTTACGCTGATGATGTGTCTGTCTTCATCTCTGGGACTGAGGAGGCGCAGGAGGTAGTCTCGGTGATGGATCAGTATTCTGAGGCGTCAGGCTCCAAGGTCAACCAGGATAAATGTGAAATTTTCCGGATGGGTAGGGATGGTGAGAACTTCTCACTCCCGGACACCTTCCCAGTGCCTCAGCAGAGTATAAAAGTCCTAGGCATCAATTTCGGTCCTGCTGATTACAGCAAGTCAAATTGGGAGGCTAGGCTGTCTGTTGCCGAGGTCAAAGTGAGGTGTTGGAAGGGGTGGTGGCTCTCTTTAAGGGAAAGGGTCGACTTGATTAAGACTTTCCTGGTTTCCATCTTTTTGTATGTCAGCTTTGTCTGTCTTTTGCCAGAATCGCTCTATACGAGGATCTACAGCTGCTTCTTCCAGATGTTATGGGGGAACAGGCTGAACCTTGTCAAGCGGGATGTAACTTACTCATCCAGGCGGGAGGGTGGCCTAGGTATTGTCAACCTGATAGTTTTCTTTTCTCTGATGTTCATGAAACATAACTTTGGTAATATGCTGGCAGAGAGACCGCCTGCATGGGTAGGGCTGTTCCGGATCTGGTTCAGACCCTTTATGAGCTGTTGGGAGAGTGGCGGGCCAGTGAAAAGCCTGCGGGTCAAGCACGGCAAGCTCCCGGCTTATGTGGCCCCGAGCCTGAAGTTACTCAGGCGGTGGCATGTGATGGCGGAGGAGATCAGATCTCTTCCTAGGAAGCTCCTGGGTGAGAGGATTGTGACAACCGCTTTCCATGCGCCACTGGCCTTGAAAGATTGCCCATGGCATATTATGAGGGAGGGTTTGCGCTTAATAAATCTGGAACGGGTCCCTTTGAAATTTAGAGACCAGGCCTGGCTCGCTTTCCATGGTAGGCTCTACGTGAGGGGTAACTTGAAGTACCGTCCTCCGGATGACTGTGGTTGTCCGAGGTCGGAGTGTCTGGGTGAAGGGGAGACTATGGACCACTTCTTGTTTCAGTGCCCCTTTAACGTAGAGGTGTATAAAGAGGTGGGTGGGGCTCTGGGTGTTCCTTTCCTGCACAGCATGTCTTATGCGGAGTGGGTGTATGGAGCATTCGAAAGTCGTCTGGATTTTGATTTAGACACTTTGTTTCTAAGCCAGTTTAGTAGTCCGTTACTACACGTGGAATGCACGGTGTCAGGTCTCCATCTGGCAGAAAGTCCTCCCCGTCCAGGTGGTGGTGTGTGACATTCTTGGTGAGGTTGGGAAGATTCGGGGCCTTGAGAAAAACAGGTGGCGGCGAAAGGCTTGGATGGAGGCGTGGAGGAACATCAGGCCTGTAGCTGCTGCCTGTTGATCTCGGGTGGTGGTATCTGTCCCTATTTTCCCTTTATCACCCCCCTAGATTTTGGAAGTATGTTTCTTTTGATGGAAGGCTGCAGGTATTGAAAATCTGTGTTTCTTAATCTTCTTTAGGGTATGTATAGAATGTTTGTTTGGTTCAAGCTTAGTTATTGTAAAGCCTTGTAGTGTTTGGCCATAAAGGCCATCTGTGGAGGATGGAAATTGTATATAGTTTGTGTCTTGGCCATAAAAGCCTGTTAAAAGCAAAAGTTTTTTTTTTTTCCAGGTATGGACTTATGTGTTGTAGGCCATAAAGGCTTCCTTTTCTTTCAGGAAGTTCCCGGACTTTTAAGTTTCCTGCATGAAGGATGTGCTTATGTTTACATTTATTTATTCATATTTATCTTTTGTATTTTTATAGAAAATTAATGCTGGTTGGTTTGTAAACACAAATTACAAATAAAATATTACCAGATATAGAGAATGCAGGGTCCAGGGAGAGCGGATATAGTGAATGCAGGGTCCAGGGAGAGCGGATATAGTGAATGCGGGGTCCGGGGAGAGCAGATATAGTGAATGCAGGGTCCGGGGAGACCAGATATAGTGAATGCAGGGTCCGAGGAGACCAGATATAGTGAATGCGGGGTCCGAGGAGACCAGATATAGTGAATGCAGGGTCCGGGGAGAGTGGATATAGTGAAAGCAGGGTCTGGGGAGACCAGATATAGTGAATGCAGGGTCCGGGGAGTACGGATATAGTGAATGCGGGGTCTGGGGAGACCAGATATAGTGAATGCAGGGTCTGGGGAGACCAGATATAGTGAATGCAGGGTCCGGGGATTGGCCAATCAGTGATCAAATGAAGAGTAGTAAGCAAGATGTCACTTCTGACAACATTGCTTACTACGTGTGAAATCTGTGAATGATCAGAGGGCACATGGTACAATGCTATTCACAACAGTCTTGTACCATGTGACAAGCTGTGGCCAATCACAGCTCACACAGTATTTCTCAATGGCTACAAGAATGCAGCCAGAGAGAAGGAGAAATTTTTGCTTTTACAACCTTTAGGCTACGTTCACACCATCTTTGTCAGCAGGCGGCAGACAGGAGTTTTGGAAGCATTTTTAACGCTTTCCTAACGCTTCTGAAAATTCTGCACATTGCAGCACATAGTGCTGTTCACACGGAAGTGTCAGCATTGAGTCCTGGCAAAACAGACTCCTCTGGTCGAGTCAGGAGGAGTTTAAGCCTCCCATTCAAGTCTATGGTGCCGCTCCGCAAATGCCTGGCCGGTGTTTGTGGTGCGGTTGCGAGGCGTTTGCAAAGCATCAACACCATTTAAACTTCACTATAAGCATTTGTGGGGCATTTTTAACTCTTGGAAAATGCCTACCAACTGCTGCAACACCGCGTATACGGCGTTTTTGGAGCATTTGCAAAGCGTTAAAAACGCTTCACAAAACACCTGTCTAACTCTTGTGAAACGCTATAGGGGCGTTTGGCAAGAGTTAGAAAAAAAGTGTGAACGAGCCCTTATGGGTGTAAAAGCAATCAGTGTAAAAAAAGAGAAAAGAAAAATATTCCTCACCCCCCACAAGTAATATAGTGTCACTATGGTGACACTGTACTGCTAGGGTGACAGTATGTTATAAAAAAAAAAATAAAAATGTAAAAAAAAAATTGAAAAATTATAATTTTTGGTTATAAACTAATTTTGTTTTTGTTTTGTTTTTTACTAAAAGATAAGTGAATAAATTTACACTTTTTTCAAAATTTTTGGACTTTTTCATTTATATAGCAAAAAAAAATAAAAATCCCAGCGGTGAATAAATACCACCAAAATAAAGTTTTATCTGTCTAAAAAAAAGAATGCTATAAAATTCATATGGGTACAGTGTTGCATGACTGTGCAATTGTCATTCAAAGTGTGATAGCGCTGAAAGCTGAAAATTGGCCTGGGGGGGAAGGGGATGAAAGTGTCCGGACTTGAAGTGGTTAATATGGATTTATTACAAATCAGCTTGATACCATTTTATCCTTCTTCTTTTTGTAAGCAATGATACATTTTATTAATTTATTTAATATTTATGTTGGAAACTAGTTGTTCGTTGGTTGTGTGTTGTGCCTCATTTAAAGTCCCAGGACAAATAAATTGGTTGTATGGATATATTAAGGGATGGAGGCACATCACCGGGTGCATCAGGTCACATTCTATGTTTATTAGAGTATATCATATCCAATGTATTATGCAGGTAATTGTATAGTATATCTGGATGGAATCATGGAGCCATGTCTCTGAAGATCATCACACAGCAGTTTTGAATCAAGCTGTATGTGGCAATCTGCAATTGTAGTTCATTTATTATATATACTTCTTAACCCCCCCAGCAGTATTCCTGAGTGTAGCTCGGGGTAAAGTTTCAGTACCAGTACTTGCAGAATTGAGTGATAATGATTCGTGGGGGAAATTCGTCATCAGACACTGAAAACGATTTTGAGACTTTGCTCAGCGATGTGCGAACTTTGCGCTATATTTCAAATTTCAGTGTTTTTGGTTTGATTATATTATTGAATTAAATGTATTATTATTATTATATTATTATTTTTTTATGATTATTTATTAAATTATAATTTATGATTTTGTGTTTCAAATTTTATCCTACCCGGGATGTTTACTAGACTCTTGCTCGGACAGATTTTTAGTGAGTTATTCCTAAAAATTACAGGCCTACCATATAAAAACAACATATTTCCATGCAAAAAAATGTACCACTTTGAGCACAGAAATACTGACATAATCAGACTGCTAGGGAGGTTAAAGGATCAGTCCACCCAAAGGTGACATTTCAGTATTTGGCTAATACTGGTAAATTAATCCCAACTGCAAACGTTGTTGCCATTACAGACTCAAGTGGCTATTTAAATGACTGGAGTCACTAACAGCAATGACTTCCGCCCTTGTGTCTATACTAGGCTCAGCAGTTGGGATTCTATGTTTTGAGTTGCAGTGTCGGCTCTGATGGAAGGGAGTTGGCATTAATCAAAATGATTAACTCCCCAGTTTCCTTGTTTAATGGTTTGTGTTGTAAGTTTAGCCCCCCTGACAGAGTCCTGTATCTCCCTGCTCTACACACCTGCTGTCCCCATTATGAAGGGTTCCCACCATCCCTGCACCATTTTTATTTCAAATGGATTTTTATTGAAAAGTTTTAACATATGAACATTATATACAAACAATCACGTGGAAAGGTTCACATTTGAGAAGCGTATTACATAGAAAAGTAGGAGAGAATGAAGAGTCCCCACCATTTGGCTGGGGAATCTATATATCTTAATCACTTTTACATGAGAGGTATGCTCGTTGTTTTGTGAGCCATGTTAGGAAACGTGGAACTTGAGAGTTGGGTAGCGGCATGGGGTAGGGGGAAAGGGGGAGGAGGGAAGGAAGGCACCATTTCAGTAGGGATAGAGCATTTTATAATAGTTTATAGCAGTAATCAGTTAATTGAACAATTGGGGTGGTTCAACCATCGAGACCAGTGTACTGTAAATTTGTGGTAGGAGGAGTTTTGAAGGGCTGTTCTTCAGTTCATCTCACATTGGAGGTTGAGATCAGCAACGAGACGAGACAACAGGGGAGAGGTGGTGGATCACCACAATTTGGTGATGTTAGTCTTTGCGGCTGCTAGAATGTGTATGATAATGATGCGTGAGCTTGTGAGAAATTTATCTATTCCTATGTGGAGGAGAGCTAATGCAGGGTTTGGGGTTACTGGTGTACCCGCGGTGGAGGAGATTATTTGGAAAACTTTGTTCCAGTAGGACTTGAGGGACTTGCATGTCCAGAGTAGATGAAGGAGTGAGCCAGTTTCTCCGCAGTGTCTCCAGCAGGCCTGTGACTGCTGAGGGTAGTATAGGGATAGTTTAGCAGGGGTTAGATACTATTGATGGAGGATTTTCAAATATGTTACCCAATGGGAGCTACACTTTGACGCTTTAAAAGTGATGGTAAATGTTTTTTCCCAGGTATGTGGGGTTATTGGAAGAAGGAGGTTTTTTTTCCCAATTGGTCAAGGATGAAGTATATGTAATGAATTGCGCTTCGATTAGAAGTGTGTAGAAAGTTGAGATTCATTTCTTTGGGTAGTTAGTCCTATGAAGGAATTGGTGTGCAGTAGCAGGAATTTCTATGTCGAGTGATATGTTTGTTTTGTGAAGCGAATTAATTATTCGCATATAGGTGAATTGATCTTTGTCAGGAAGATGGAATTTCTCTTGAGCAGTCTGGAAAGACTCTAGTTTGTGAGTGTTATAAATGTCCTGAATATAGTGTATACCAAGCGCTTTCCATGACGTCAGATTTAAGTTAGGGGAGATGAAGTGCAGGGACGAGAGTGGAGTAGGGATTCGTAGGTTGTGCTTGTGTGATTGATTGTAGGCTAAGAAGTCATGCCAGACCATCAAAGAGGCTTGAATGCATGGATGTTTATGTAGGAGTTTAGTCTGAGCTGTTCGGGGTATAAATAATGCGTCTGTTGACGTGTATGGTAAGTACAAGGAAGTTTCCATGGTGGTCCAAGTTTTTTCAGGAGTAGGGTGCCACCAGAAGAAGAGCTGGTCTAGTAGGACGGCTTGGTAATACGATTTTAGATGTGGAGACCAGCTCCACCTCTGGAGGGTGGATGTATTAGGAGGTTTGTGGTACATCTAGGCCGTTTTGAATTCCATAGGAATTTGTTCAGGATTTTTTGAAGTTTAGAGAAGAAGGTGTCAGGAGCTGGGATAGGGAGTGTACGAAAGATATAGAGAATTGTAGGCAGTACGCACATTTTTATGGTTTCTATTCTGCCTAGTGTTGATAAAGTAGTTGTGCGTAAGCTTCTGAGCTCCTGTGGGATTGTGTCAAGCAATGGTTTGAAATTAGCAGTGTAAAGTTGGTCAGTTTTGGCAGTTAGTTTAATCCCCAAATAGGGGATGTTATGTTTTTCCCACTTAAAGGGGAACAGTTTAGAGAGTAGGTTTTGGGTTACGGTAGGCGTATAAAGGTTTAGTATAGATGACTTGGGTTAGTTGAGTTTGTAGTATGAGACTGCTGCGTAGTTGTGGATATGTGTGCGTATCGGTTTAAGCGACCTATAGGGGTTTGTGATCATTAGAATAATGTCGTCTGCAAAGAGACAAATTTTGTGTTCATTTTTAAGAAATTTAATTCCTGTAAAATTAGGGTAATTTCTGAGGTTTGATGCTAGTGGTTCAATGAGTAAAGCAAAAATTATGGGGGAAAGAGGGCAACCTTGCCTTGTTCCATTGGATATTTGGAAAGGTTGTGAGAGCGTGCCATTGGTAAGTACTCTGGCAGAGGGTTTGGAGTATAGGGATAGGATCGCCGACAGCATCCAGTCTGTTATTCCATATTTTTGGAGTGTAAGTGCCATAAATTGCCAGTGGATTTGGTCAAATGCTTTTTCTGCATCGATTGATAGAAGGAGTGAGGGTTGGTTGTCAGATTCCAGGCGGTGTAGTAGTGATGATATAATTTGTCTAGTCGCATCAGGGGCCTGTCTACCAGGTATAAATCCCACTTGGTCTGGGTGGATTAATGTAGGTAGATATGGGAGCAATCATAAGGCGATTATCTTGGCATATATATTTAGATCCGTGTTGAGCAATGAGATCGGCCTGTA